TATCCTAAGGTAAGAACTACATTTACATGAATTTTTTCATTCTCTTTTTCTTTGATCAGCTAAGAGAAGGTAGCTGGAAAGTAGATAACAAACAACGCATTTTCCAGTTGATCTTGTATGCATTTTATAATGTATGTCTGTGTTTGACTTGTATATCTTTCTTTGCATGCCATGGAAGTAATATTTGACATGTTTAAACTTCACTGTGTAGTCAACAAAAACAAAATCAGTTCATTTTGTATTTGACTCCTACAGCAAAGAATCAAAGTATTTAACTTCCAAGTAATTTGCCAACTTCACTCAATCAAAATTTAGTTATAATTCTAGCTGTGACAGCAGTAAATGCTTTGTTTGTTAATCCCGTCAAAGCAATTAATAACATGATCTTCAAGGCATCTCTGAGAGTCTCTTGTTTGTTAACTCACACTGCTATAATGACAGTGCCTGTAATTTATGATTTTTTGAGGGAGATTGATTATATTGAATATGTGTGTAAAGTGTTTGCAGAGCTTAGGGTAAAATTTTTTTAACTTAGACATTATGCTTTTTGATTGTTTGACTTGAATTTTGTTAAAATTTGCTCATGAATTTAGCCTCATACACAGTGATTTTGTTACAAATGGTTATGGTTAATCCTGGGCCACCCATCCCTGAGTCCCAGTCCAGAGCCACTGATTCCCAATTCAAAAACGCAAGTCCCTGGGTCTTTATGTAACCACACAGTTAAGCTGAAGACAGACTCCAAAAAATATACTCCTTCTATTGTCAAGTACAACAAAGACTAAAAGAAATATGCATCGTTAAATAACAGCCACAAGAACAGCAACAGAAATCACACAAACAGGGTCTATTCTTCAAAAACATCTTCAGATCGATCAATCAATCTTTGCATCTTCCAGGACACATGTACCACAAATTTTTTTTGCATCTTTAGGGATTTTTATGCATCAGGGATGCAGGATGCAGAGGTAACAGAATCACTGCATATATGTATGTTGCAAAACCTGAAATATATTCATATGCATTTTTGCTTTTGGTTGCATAGCTGGATGTGTGTTGTAGAATATTATTATATTTTTTAACTTGATGGATCGTGTATGAATAGTTGTTCTTTTCTGAGGGGTTAAACCTGTATCAAGGTAGTTTATCTTAATCACAAAATCACAAACTTCCTACAGGCATTTGCATGGTTGGGGCATGAACTTTCCCCCACCATACATACATGTGTAAAGTTCTGTGACTTTTCAGAGCTATATCTTTTCAACTCTACTGACTTTAAGGCAGTCTTTTCCGCTGTGTTGATTCATTTTTGCTCACTGCTGCCAGTCAAAAGTTGAAATAACTGTGGAAGGGTCAGTTTTAGTGAAATCAGGAATGTTTTCAGGAAATTTGGTGTTTTCCAATCTCAGAAGTAAACAGTTTTGATGCACATTGTGTACTTGCATCTACCTATTCAAAGAGATTGATCAGTATATTCTGCTTACAAAATCAAGTAACAGCTAAACTGAAGAATACAAGTTACATTTAGTCTCCCTGCAAAAAGGGCCAGCTTATTTGCACCCACTGCCCTGCCAAATGAGTCACCAAGTAATAAGGCTGTCTTATCTATTGATGATCGAGAGATTCAACAAGTGTATGTAGAGTTTGCAGCTATCTATTGCTAGCCAGACAAGCTACCAATACCAGTAACTTCACAATTTGAGAATATTTGGCACTACATTGCTACTCTACACACAGTGATGATAGTGGTGGTAGTGTTGGCGTTACCAATGGTAATGGCTATGTTAATGGCGATGACAGTGATGATAATGCTGGCAGCAGCGGCAGTAATGATGGCAATGTTAATATTATGATAATGGCGATGATAGTGGTGGTAGGGTTGGTTTTACCAATGGTAATGGCTATGTTGATGGCGATGGCAGTGATGGTAATGATGGCGGCAGCGGCGATAATGATGGCAATGATAATATTATGATAATGGTGATGATAGTGGTGGTAGGGTTGGTTTTACCAATGGTAATGGCTATGTTGATGGCGATGGCAGTGATGGTAATGGTGGCGGCAGCGGCGATAATGATGGCAATGATAATATTATGATAATGGTGATGATAGTGGTGGTAGGGTTGGTTTTACCAATGGTAATGGCTATGTTGATGGCGATGGCAGTGATGGTAATGGTGGCGGCAGCGGCGATAATGATGGCAATGATAATATTATGATAATGGTGATGATAGTGGTGGTAGGGTTGGTTTTACCAATGGTAATGGCTATGTTGATGGCGATGGCAGTGATGGTAATGGTGGCGGCAGCGGCGATAATGATGGCAATGATAATATTATGATAATGGTGATGATAGTGGTGGTAGGGTTGGTTTCACCAATGGTAACGGCTATATGGATGGCGATGGCAGTGATGGTAATGGTGGCGGCAGCGGCGATAATGATGGCAATGATAATATTATGATAATGGTGATGATAGTGGTGGTAGGGTTGGTTTTACCAATGGTAAAGGCTATATTGATGGTGATGGCAGTGATGATAATGGTGGCGGCAGCGGCGATAATGATGGCAATGATAATATTATGATAATGGTGATGATAGTGGTGGTAGGGTTGGTTTTACCAATGGTAAAGGCTATATTGATGGTGATGGCAGTGATGATAATGGTGGCGGCAGCGGCGATAATGATGGCAATGATAATATTATGATAATGGTGATGATAGTGGTGGTAGGGTTGGTTTTACCAATGGTAATGGCTATATTGATGGTGATGGCAGTGATGATAATGGTGCAGAGTGCAAGCTGAAGCTAACATTTACTAGCCCAAAAAACGCTTTGTTGAGCAGATTGATTTCACAGTTCTTCTGTAATTTGAATTCCTCAAAAAAATTCACTTGCCCATCGGGCAAGTTAATAACAAAATTCACTAGCCCGATAGCAAAATCCACTAGCCCCAGACTATCGGACACTACTTTCTTTGCACGCTGTGGTCGTAGTGGCAATAATGACGGCAATGACGATATTATGTCGATATGATAATGTTGATGGTAGTGGTGGTAGTGTTGGTGTTGCCATTGGTAATGGCTATGTTGATGGTGATGGCAGTGGTGGTGGTGATAATAACAGCAATGACAATATTATGTCATTATGATAATGGTGACAGTAGTGGTGGTAGTGTTGGTGTTACCATTGGTAATGGCTATGTTGATGGTGATGGCAGTGATCATCATGGTGGTAGTGGCGATAATGACGGCAATGACAATATTATGATAATTTTGATGGTAGTGGTGATAGTGTTGGCGTTACCAATGGTAAAGGCTATGTTGATGATGATGAAGATGAACATGGTGATGATGCTGACAGTGTTGATGATGATGATATTAATGATGGAATCGTGATGGTAATGATGATGGTAATTATCCCTAGCTAAAACCTTGAAGGAGTTATGACACGAGGATATCACTGTTTTAGGTCAATTTTGTGCTGACGTCATTATCTAGTGCCTTTATCCACCTGCAAAATGAACCCGGAGAGTTATAAATATAGAAGCTGTCAAAGAAATTTCATCGGGGAGCAAAAACCATAATTTTTTTGGTGATTTTTGTTGGCATAGCATAATTTTTCCAAGTTTCAATCCATGTCCATCCTTGCCATTCGTTGCAACAGATGACAGGAAACAGTTGCAAGGCCTAAAAAGCAAAAGCCATAATTTTTTTGGTGATTTTAATTGACATAGCATAATTTTTCCAAGTTTCAATCCATGTCCATCCTTGCCATTCGTTGCAACAGACGACAGGAAACAGTTGCAAGGCCTAAATTTTGTGTTGACCCTTTAATCCCCAAGATCCACATACAAATTCTCCAGTCTGATCTCCATACATTTCTTTTAAGAATAGTTGGGAGAATTTGGTTTAAGATCAAAGTATTCTCCCTGTGGTAATCAATCTAGTAATTCTCATAACCTTTTCTCTTGATGATCTGCTGATGTTGTTAGGAGAAAATTGATGTTGGTCTCTCTTGGGACCTAAAGGGTTAAGTAACAAAACAAGACCATTATGTTTGGAATTTAATTGATGCGAAGACACATTTTAGCCTTCTAAAAAGATTGCAAATAGCGCTACGTGGTCCCTTTAACCCTTTAAGTCCCAATAGTGCTCAAAATCAATTTTCTCCTAACGATATCCATAGACTATCATGAGCAAAGTCTATGAGAATTAACAAAATGATCACAAAGAGAAAAATATTGATCTTTTACCAAATTCTCTCCACTAATTTTTCAAGGAAATGTATGGAGATCAGTTTGGAGAATTTGTATGTGGATATTGGGACTTAATGGTTAATGACTTTCGTCCTCAGGGTAGAACGGCCTGCCTTCATAAATTATTCACACCGTACAGACAATCAACATCGAATTTGATTGTTCAGAAAATTCACGTCTTGTTTGATATTCTGTTTTTATTTTTGAAGTTTGTTATTTTAACATTGTTATAATTTATGAAAATTAAAACATAAATATGGTCAAAGATGATGATGAATATCAGTGAGGCCTAAGGCGCGGTAAAATGAAATAGTCACTATTTATAAAGTTACATTACACTGAGCCCGAGGCCGATAATTGTTTAAGCATTAATAGATTTTTTTTATTCAAATGACAGTCCACGCCGATGGATCGAAGTTTCAGCTCCGTTTTACGGCCCGAATAATCTGCACGCGAACTGCCTTGTTTATATTTTTGGTTCTAAATCCGGCGGCCGATATAATGCTAAATATGCTTTTCAATACACATTAAAAAATAAAACCGGACAATACGGAGAGAAGAAGAAGAAAAAAGAAAGAATCAAGTAGGGACCTTCACGACGATATTCTTAACTTGACTTGACTTAACTTGAGTGGGGCTACTACTAAAAAACAAGTTTCTCGAGGGTTATTGCGTTTTACATATTTCTAGTTTATTTAGCTGGCAGAGGAGTCGTCTAAAAAGTCACATTTCGGGTAAACAATCTGACATTTGCAGCTTTGGAGGCAGGGTTTATATTTATTAGCTCACGCGATGAAGATAAATAGTACAGAAATTATGAAAATTTATAGTTTTACGTCGCACGAAGATTGATTCGCTGAATATTTATAGTTTGTCCGCGGAAGGAAGAACACAACAAACACAGAGTGTTCCTCAAACTGCACAGAACTCGCCTTTCAATTAACTACACTTTTTTGGTTCATTGTCGACGGTGCATTGTTTAGGACTAACTTCAAGCTGACTTGTTTTGGTGAGAAGTTTTTCAGGTGATGCATGTGGAAGCCGTTTTTATTATTTTCATTCTAGAAGTGGTTTTTATTAGTCAAATGAGTCTAATATCTTTCCTACCTTTTTTTAACTGACTCACTCGCTCAGAGTTAACGACGGAGGCTTGTCAGTGGGCTTGTAAGTAACTTTTGAGTCTGTGGATGAAAAGCTATGGTGTGACCATTCAAATGAAATCTCTTTTGACGTTAGTTCCACTCGGTACTATTTATTTAGTGTGTAGTTTTAACTTTTGAGTCTGTGGATGAAATCCTATGGTGTTACCATTCAAATGAAACCTCTTCAGCAGTACTCTCACATGGTACTATTTATTTAGTATGTAGTTTTAACTTTTGAGTCTGTGGATGAAATCCTATGGCGTTACCATTCAAATGAAACCCCTTGGGCAATACGTTTACTTGCTACTATTTATTTTTCAATATTTTGCAAGGTGAAATTCGGAAAATTTGCGGAAGTTTGACGAGTGAGGTAATTGAGTTTCCTGTCGATGGTTTTAGGTAGTTCCTTCGAAGCCGAACGTCGAACTTTTCATTGGACAAACTAAACTCTAATTTGGGTCGACCTAAATTAAGTTAAGATCGTCTGTTTGGTCAAACGTCGAACTTGGATGCGTCGAACCAATCAACTGAATCAGACCAAAAAGACATTTTAGCCGAACGAGGCTAGATACACGTTATCATATAAATTTTTTATTTATTAGTTTAGCTCGTTGCGTGTGAAGATCAATGTTTGTCCCGGAGACGATATTCAGACGTTCTGTCTGTCTGAAGCAGACGGATAGAACGTGTTGGACGATCCAAACTCATTCAGAAGAACTTAACTGAGTCAGACGTCGCAAGTTTAGTTTGTGTCATGAAAAGTTCGACGTTTGGCCTAGGCTTAAAAGAAGAGATTATATCATTCAGTCATCTAGCACGTGGGATTGATGTAGACGGTGGGGAGTGGGTGGTGGGTGGGGTACTGTTCGTCGGAAGATTTCGAAACAACCCTGAAAGGTACCAGTATCCCGTTTTGTTGGCTTATCCCAAGTACATTTTAACATCTAGCAGGTACCAAATATCAGTTGAGTAGCTAAAACTTCCCGTCCTTTTTCGGCCCAATGCGCTAAAAGGCCTTTCAAAGGTATCATGGCAGCTCTTAAGGAGGTCTTTTTAGATTTAACTCTTTAAGCCTCAATATCAACATACAAATTCTCCAGACGTTCTCGGTTCATTTCCCTAAAGAATCAGCTGGGAGAATTCGATAAAAGATCAAAGACTTTCCCTTTGGTGATCATTGTGTTCACCCTCATAAGCTTTTCTCTTGATAATGTATTCTTATTGTTAGGAGAAAATCGGTGTTAGTCACTCTTGAGACAGCACCCTAAGCGCGCGTGTACCAACTCACAAATTTTAAGGCCCGAATACTTTCCTCTGGGACTCGTAGATAAATTTTAAAGGTGCTTGCTTTCTGTTGCAACCTCTTTTTAACTCCATAAATAGAGAAATATTTAAAATCGAGGAATATGCCAAATTTGGGATTTATAACTACTAAAAAATACTTAATCATACAATTTGATCGATTTCTTCTTCAACCTTTTTTCTTGAAGACAAATTTTTAACGCGGTTGTCATGTTGTCTCTTCAACTTTTAAATCTATGGCCTAGTCATTCAATTTTAAGGTGAAACCATTCAAATGTAAACACTTACGCAAATTTTTGCGTATAACTATTCATAATTATTGCTTAGGATTTAAAACAAGAAGAAATTTGAAACCTTTGGGACAATTTTTCTTTCGCTGATTTTAGGAGCGATCGTCACAAGATTTTGTTCAACTCAATAGTTTCAACAACCTATCTCCATAATTTGACTATGTAGTAAAATTGCTGTTTCCTACGCTTAGAAGCTACCTTCATGTCAAATTTCTTTTGTAATCTAAAGGAAAAATACACTAGTTTATTATTTTGTTTCCGTGTCAAGAAGGAATTTGCCGTATTTTTTTCATGTACACGTCCAAAGAAAACTTGCCATTGAAAATGCGAATTGCTCGAATTTTCCTTGCGTGAGAAAATGCTAGCTGTTTTCTTTAAATTGACAGAACACGTAAGAACTCTTTTAAGTGTTTTTCGTTCAATGAGGAGACAAGTTTTGGCAGCTCCAAGGCTATCATCGGTCAAAAGTGACAGTTATAAGGCGATATTATAATTTAAATGATAACAATTACAAAAGACCATATGCGAAGAGTTAAGTGGTAAGATTTTCTGGTCTATTTACGAAATTGATACTTTAGTGGCGCGAGTTACTGGCCAATTTGGCGCCAATTTTTTGTTGATAATGTTTACGATGTTAGCAATTTCAGTTGTAACACATGTGCTTCTTTTTACCTGGTTGATAAAGTAAATTGGCCATCGTAAAAGCATTCGTAAGCTGACGTTTTGAGCGCAAGGTCTTTGTCACAGCGAATCCTCTCAACCGCAGCTGATAATATCAAATTTTCTAGCTATAACTTCCCACGACGCATATTCACAGTTTATTTTACAAACTAAGCCCTTTGAGGGTGGATTTCCACTGTCGGGTAATTCTAGCGTGCGTACGCGCGTACGCGCGTACGCGTGTAAATAAAATAGAGGCAGTGTATGAAAGGTCGCGCGTAAACTTCGCTCAACTATTTCGTTTACGCGTGACACTTTTTAGATTGCCTCTATTTTATTTTATTTAATGGCGAAAAATTTAGGTACGTTCACGCGTTAAAACTCACGCGACAGTGAAAACCCATGTTTCCAGTTTTAAAGTATACAAGTGTGCAACGCCGTTTTCCATACACTGTAATAATATGACGGGAGTTTGTCCAGCCGAAAATCAAGGGCACGTTGGTGATAATTTTCCCTATTCTCGTGATATTCACGTTTGCTTAGGCTGTGATATCTTAAGGAGAAATCAGATACCCAGAGTCACAGTTTAGCTGAGATATTGCTAAAGTGAAAAGCAGCTTGCAAATTTGGGGCCCCGAATGTTTCCCGCTCGCCAAGTGTTATTTTCTGTGACATGGCAGCCTTAAATTCTTGCGTACTCATCGAGTTGTGCGTGATACAAGTTTCTCGTTCATTTCTAAATTCTATTGAAATTTTCACCGACCTCTCTGAAAGAGTGTTTTCCCTTGTAAACTGAACTTTGCTTAAGCCTAAATCTGCACCTATATTTACATTTCAGCCACGTCACTGGGAACGCCTTGAAAAGCCGATTTAGAGGCCAAAATTTTTAAACTTCGTCTAGGACTTATATATCGCAGTTTCCGTCCTTCCGGTCTAGTTCTCGTGGTTGGAAACGTTTTTGGTGAAATTTTCCGAGTTTTACCCTTTTTTTAAACGGATAGTTTTTCTTAGAGGGTTAGCGTGACACAATGAGGTGAGACGCATCTTGCAATATTGAGTGCATTCACCCTTACCAATACCGAATGTAATTCTGTGCATGGTAATCAAAGTGCTCTGCCTTTGCGCAACGCTAGCACGCGTTTGTGATCGTTGAGCTAACCGGCTGAGGTTTTTATACCCAAGCATTGCATTACACTTGTCTTTTTCCACACTCAGTTTCATGGAGGGTCCTGGGAATCTAGATTCAGCTTCGAGCGATCTAGCAGACGTTTTTATGGATTTTACGCTATCCAAAAACGAGCCAGATGACCGCGACAAAAACGAGTCTTTCGCCCCGTGCAAGTTCTCACGCAAATCGTCTTCGTCGTCGTCGTCTTCCTTGTCGGAGGCGGTAAAACCGCGTATGTCTGTGGAAAGTGAGGAGAGCGACAGCGGCGTGGGGTCGAACCATTCTTCTACTACTGAGTGTGTTGTGTGCAACGACAAGGCGACAGGCTACCATTATGGCGTGTTCACGTGCGAGGGATGTAAAGGATTCTTCAAGCGTACAGTACAGAAGCAGTTGGAGTATACTTGCAAGGGAGACGGAAACTGCGAGGTGAATCAAATCAACAGAAATCGATGCCAATACTGCCGCTTTCAGAAGTGTGTGGCCCAGGGAATGCTTAAAGAAGGTCGGTGTATTTTTCGTTGACTACAGTCAAACTCCGCTTAATACTGACACCTCATTATCACGGACAGTTTGCTCTGTCCCTGGGGAAAGAAAGCCCTTACATTTGCTCTAAATTCAATCCGCTTAATACGGACATGCTGTTAATGCAGACACTTTCTCTGGCTCCGTCAGTGTCCGTATTTACGGGATTTGACTATATTTGTGCAGTCTTTGTTACTGTTTAATTCAATTGGAAACATGTGTGGAGTAAGCTTTTTCAGGCCACGCGGTGATTTCGGACGTTTTCCCGCCAGTGGATCACGCATGTGGCCCCACATGTGGAGAAACGGTCGGAAAAAACAGGGAAGTTAGTGCTTGGTCAGTGTAGCGGAAGTTTTTGCTTGTTAGTTTTTGCGTTGTAATAGGGGCATTGTGATTGTGTTTTTAATCTTCTGGTGTATGTCATTAGATAATCGCAAAATCCTCAGCTGTAGGAAACCCCTGCTTGAACTGTTTGTTTTCATTTCTGAAGTTGAGAGATTCTATTTTAATATTTACTTGGGAAAGAGAGTCTTTTACAAATTTTTACAAAGCTCACTCGTGGATTCCTTTTTGATTAAGAGACAAAAAAATTCAGTTTTTTGGTTCGGCTGGTCAAGAAGTCGATAATATTACGTGAAAAGCGAGGAAATTTTGTCATAAATGACGTGTTTCTGGTTTAAAGACTGTCCAAAAGAGTATTTTTGACGATGATGTATTCATTATTTTCACGTCTTGAGCGGATTTTTACGATGGTTATGTAATCAAAACACGTGGAGAGCTAAACAGCATGAGGCTATGCACATGTATGCTAACGAAGGAAGTTTTTACTGTTTTTAGATTTTGTTTTCGTAAATTAGAACTTCCATCAAGTTTTTTTACTTTATATGGGAATGACAACAAACGATTTTACCAACAACAAACCGATTTTGTGGCTTAATTTAATAATTAGAACATGGCCTCAAATTTTATTCGAACAACTGATTGTTTACTCATCTTATTTATCGAAGTTCAACTGTATACACTTTACCCGAGGGATGATGCAACAAGCGGCCGCACCAACTGACGTAAAATTTCAAGTTTCGACCGGACGATTGCCCCATGGCTCTAAATTTTTGCGGATAGTAAATTTAAGGGGGTTTGAGGTATTTTCCACGACCCTCATACAAAAGACAAAAATTTTGAGCGCGAAAATTTTCTTCGTGATCGAAAGTGGCACAAAAAATGACTCGATAACCGCCGTGAATCAATCAACTACAAACTAGAGAGATTAAAGTTGTTTACCATTTAATAAATTGGCAAATCTGTCGGTTCACAGTCAGTTTCACGGATTAGGCAAATAGGAAGAAAAATTCAGGACTGGTAAATTTCAGGGGCACCCAACGAGAATATAGTTGAAAACCACTTAAACATAGTATTGTTAAACGTATTTTCGTATCAAAACAGTAGATATAGGCATAGTTTTATCCCCTAAAAATTTCTCATCTGTTCGGATTTCCTTGCTGAAAGTCTAGTGATCCGAAAATTACAGGGATAAAAACTTACCTGTTCGGAAATTTCAGTCAGAAAAAAGGCCCCCGAAAATTCTAGGTGACCTTTTTAGGGTAAAAATCCGTTAAAAATGGGCAATTATACCATTTTTTAGATGTTCGAAAATCCTAGGAGAGGCAGGCAAGCAAGATATTTTCCGATAATTGACGTTGGGTGCCCCTGAAATTTCATTCCGGAATCGTGTTTACCATTTACAGAAATGCACAAGTTCCTTTTACCGAAAAACGGCCGCGAAAGCCTGAAACTGGTATTAAAGATGGATTTTAACAAATGGAACAGGGATTTCTGTTTGAAATATTCCGTCCTGAAAAACCTGACTTCCTTTTCAAATGTTCTGTTTCTCCCGGAAATTTTCCACTGAAACGACACGGTAAGCCGTGTTCCGTTTACCTTTCAACCGCATTTTTCCGGAAACCTTTTGTAAATGGTTAACGAGCTTAGAATCACGTTTACGGTAAACAACAAACGTGAAATTTAAGTTGACAATTTCTCAAATTAGGATATAAGCAGATAAAACTGTCCGAAATAATTTTACGTGACATTCAGCTGATTCATTGTTGCCTACGCATAATGGGGAGTAAACGACGACGTTACTGCCGGGGGAAACTTTGTCACGTGGTACAAATTGACGTTTGTCGTTTGCGGTAAACGTTTGTGACGTCAAGAGAGAGAAGAAGTGTGACGTCACGTTGCCATGGTAGCAAAATTTTTGGATGACAACCAAAGGGAGCTTAGGCAACAACGGCAACGAGAACGGCAAAAAAAGCAATAAGTTTATATTAGTAAAACGACTACTCTGCACGTGCATCACGCTTTTTGCACATTTTTCAGCCATCGTTGCACGACTGCGACATGAAACTTCCTACTTTACGGAGTGGGTGAATACAACTCAAGAAGTAATTTTCTCTTTTTTGGGTGCGGTTATGACAATTTTAGCGTCTTTGTACCAATGCCTGGGGAAAGGTGTGGGTATCATAGCCTAGGAAAAAGCTGTGACGGTAGCCTGCAGAGAAGGCGTTATTGACTATTTTCCAATTCCCCATAATACACTCTGTCTGCCCCCCAAATTTTGCATAACTTATTGTCTTCAAATGCTCTTGGGAAAATGCAATACTCCCAGGAGCATTTAAAAACAATGGTTTATACAAAATTTGGGGGGCAAACAGATTGTATTATGGGGAATTGGAAAATAGAGAATTTTTCCGCGTTTTTCAGGCAAGCAAGAGCGAGGTCAATCTTCCTTCCGTCGCGAGTCACTCGCGCTCCGCGCCCGCGCACGCTCGTCTCGCGCGAGCCCTCGCTTGCCTGAAAAATGCAAAAAAAATAAATAAATAACGGGTTGGGGGGATGAGAAGGAAGCGCTGACCTTTTCTCGCCTCCCCGGTCCGACCTGAGAGCTTGCTCCAAGGGTATCGGCATCGTACCCGTAGGATCATATCTCGAGGGAAGTGTAATAGTGCGACTTCGGATCTTAGGGGACTCCCAAGTGAAAGGGACGAGAATTCTTGTCGTTTTGCCATGGGGTGTAAATTGCAGATTTTAGTCTCACTTAAGGTGTTCAGAAAAGAAAGCCGGTAATTCACAGCATTGTTCTTCCCTGGGTATTTTTAGGTGTCAATGTCCTTCTTAATCCTTGTACATCAACTCCTTGATCTTCTCACTTCGTTGCTTTATAGCTGTGCGAGAGGATCGGACCCCAGGAGGAAGACATCGGCATAAATCGCTTCAGGATCATCGCCCTAAAAAGCAACGTGCCCGGGAAGAACCCTCCACAAACGGGACCGTAGTAAATGGAGATGACCACACCGACAGCTCTGCCGGTAGACAGCCAGACACACCGGTCAATCAGCGGGAAGTCATGGCGTTCATTGATAAGATTCGCGAGCGGGCGACTGATATGCCTGATATACCCGGTCATACGGTGAAGGGGGAAGATGGGAACTCTCAAGACGTGAAGAAGTTTATGCAGTTGGCGTATCAAGAACTCTACCAGGTGATCCAATGGGCCAAAGATGTGCCCGGCTTCAAGGATGTCGAGCTAGAGGACCAAGTTACCCTGATCAAGGCTTGCTTCATGGATCTTATTGTCTTCCGCCTCGCGTACAGGTCCGTGCCGTGCGATCCAATGTCACTAAGGTTTGGTCAGAATCTCATCCTGGAGAAACATGAGGTTACCGATTTAGGCTGGACGGAAGACCTTGTTGATACCAACCTTGAGTTCACTGACAAGCTGCGCAGTTTGAACCTGGACCCGAATGAATTTTCGTGTATGAGCGCCCTTGTTCTTCTGTGTCCAGGTATGTAAGTTATCTTGAGGTATTAGATCTACTATAAACCCGTTCGTTGCAAAAATTTGTTTCTCAAATAATAGAATTTCCGAGAACTAGAAATTACACCGGGCTATCAGGCTATCTACGGCGCACTAATTCGCTCTGTACTAGAGTACGCCTCCGCTACCTTTGCTGACTTGCCCAAGTATCTTGCTTGATATCTCGAGAACGTACTAAAAAGGACCCTTTCCATCATTCGTATGAAACAGCACTTGACAAAGCTACATTATCCACTATTTCTGACCGTCGGGCAATCTCGTGTATTAAATTTATAAGTAAGGTTCGGCCAGGTAACCCGTTATACCCACTAATACACAAGAGAGTGGTACCTACGTCTACCAGTGTGTGTCTAAGATCAGGGAGTTCTAGCAGGCCCATGGCCACAAGGACTGAACGTTTCTCAAATTTTGTTAGTATTAAATATCAATCTTGTCAATAAATGTAGCGTATTAGTATATATATCACACCTTGTAAGGTATCCTTCAATTCAGTCTTCTGACTGCAAAAGGGACAATAAACCAGTGATTTGATTTGATTTGATCAAGCGAGACTTGAGCTATCCATTTTCACACTTAAGGTGTAATTTCCGATTTATATCGGAGGCACAAAAAATCAAGAATTGCATATTTCTGGCGTTCACTCGATAACTGGGAATAAAAAAGATTGGAACTGAATTAATGGATTGTTAATTTGTCTTTAAATTTTCGGCATTGTTCGTCAATTTTTCCATGCGATATAGAGGTGGAATTCTTTGTGTAATTCCCTTGAACTTTTGGCGATCGCCAAAATTCCAATGTTATTCCTTAGCAATGCATTGCGCATCCTCACTGCGCATAATTTGACGCGTGGTTAACGCGCGCACTTTAAAACATGATGTAAAGATTCATTTTCTCTTAAACAAGTGTGGTGACCGATTGTTTTTTCTCTTTTTCCAAAAGTGGTAGTAGTAACTTACCTGGCCTAAGTTATATATAGACTATTTTCCAGTGCAGGGAATGAAACAACCGTCAGAAACGTGTTCTAAGTATGTATTCGTAAATATAGTCATAATGGTATTTAAGGAATCACTGCGTTTATACAACTTGCTCCTGCTCCTAAGCGAGTATGTTGACCCCTAATTTTATTTCAAAATTAACGTTTCTATAGCGTAAACAACCCTTTGGTAAAGTTTGACAAAAATATCAGTGCAGGTTCTATTTCAGAGTAATGACCCTAAGATGACATTTTCAAACGATTTTCAATTATTTTGGCCTGTGTAGGGGCTGCTTAAAAGGGAAAAGGGAAGTGCATTTCTACTCGCGTGGAATCGGAGCGCACGGCCTTGACGTTCACATTAAGCATCGCGTTTACGGCAAACGGCAAACTCGAGATTCAAGTTGAGAAATGAGCAGATGAAAACATCTTAAAACAATTCTTATGGATGGAGTTGGGGTGAATCTGCCGAATTTCGTATAGTTTTAATAAACAGTAAACGACAAGGGGAAACTTGGTCAAGTGGTACAAGTTAACGTTTGCCGTTTGCGGTAAACGCGATGCTTAATCTGTCTATTCTCTGGAGCTATCGCGCCAAAACGAAACTGGTTTACGCGTGTGCACTACGTAGTATTGAGAAAATCTCGTTCTTGAAGTCATCCTCGTCTCAGAATCTCAAGATCTCTAATAATTAGCACCAACCTTATCTTCGTGCGCAGATACTCCCGGTCTTAAGAACAAAGAGAAGGTGACGCAGCTTCAGTCCAAAGTAAACAGCCACTTGCGTGACTACTGCGTGTCACTCTGCCCACAGAAAACGAACCGGCTTGGTAAGCTGCTGCTTTGTCTGCCAACACTTCGCTTGTTTAGCGAAAAGGCCATGGAGAACTATGTAGCCCTAGAATTTTTCGGCAAGTTGGATATGCCTCCTTTGGTGGCGGAACTCTTAGAGTAAGGTTAGTGTGACGGGGTGACAATTTTCTACGCGTCTTATGCCTTCAAGAACTGAAGATCAGATGCTGAGACGAGAGATTCTTGCAGTCTTGACTGGAACACATTCGTTGCGCTCGCAACCACACGAACGGTCATCGTTGTAAGTATTATATCCGTCAAGTTTTATAGCTCACTTTAGAAAAGAGTGATAGTCTGGGACCCAGACTAAGCGCGCGCACATTTATGGGATTGTTTGGGGGGACAGTTCGATCAGCCACCTTGAATTATGACGAGACATGCAAGTTGTTGTGGGAATTTGTGCACAAATAACTTCAGGAACTTCCCTGGTCTGGCATTTTATAGAGTATCAAAGGCAAAACGTATCTAGCGAGAATATGTACGTTTGCTTGGGAACGCTAATTTGAAGTTGAACTCGGATAGCACATGGATTTGCATTCTTCTGGTTTTTCTCGAAGTAAAATCGCCCCAGGCACATCTTCCCCCAGCTTCAGAATTTCATGTTGCAGGGGCGGATCTAAGGGGGAGGGGGCAGGGGGTGCGCACCCCCCCCCCCATGAGATGACCTGCGGTTTTCTAATACAACTGGTATTCTGCAAAAAAAAACTATGTGGTTTGTTGGTGTTGAAGTAGAGCAAGAGACGAGTGCACCCCCTCCTAAAAAAAATCCTGGATCCGCTCTTGTGTTGTTTCTTTTAATGCCGTTTTGCTATTTTGAGCTGTTTTAACCCCGCTGGAACATTCCACTTCGCTTCCGCCATGTTTGTTTACATTCACGTCGCCCCAGATATTCCCATAAACGCGCACGCGCCTAGTTTGGGTCCTAGGCTATCACTCTTTTCAGAAGAGAGCTATGGAGGGATTGCTCCTTTTTTATTTTTATTTTTTCTGTATCATGAAGGTGCACTATAAAAAACTTGAGGGTCTCCTCCACTGTCTTGATAGCTAGAATCACATGACGGGTTATATATATATATATTTGATCTAAAAGACAGGGCCTGGTAAAATGCCAGTCCAAGAACAGAGAGATTTTTCGAGATTCATCTCTGTAACGCATTGTCCGACCCAACAAACGTAAAAAGGAATATGAAGTAGAATGTGATTGAGGATTTAAAAGAATGAGTTATAGTCGGAAGTGAGAATGTCCACGGTGACTATAAACAAGTTAAATAAAGTTATAATTCCAAGAACCTTGTTACATGAAAGAGAAAAAAACTATCGTAGTCCGGCGTTGGTAGTCAAAGATCCTCCACTCATAGTGCGTCTTCATGTTAAGAGCTCTCCCGAGACATAGTAGTCACTAAAAAACACAGAATTAATGCCAGTAAAACTGGAAATTTTACCTACGTTTATGCTTTACCGTCAAGTCCTGCGAGTAACGACCTGTAGTCCTTCGGTAAGGTCTTCATTTGGGGGAGTCGCAAGAAGTCAGGCGAGAGCCACACGTGAAAGGAGCTTCATTTTTTCTACGCTTCTTCCCGACAACGGTGTTACAAATAGGCCCTTTGTAGCTAGACATTCACGTGGTACAAAACCGCCATGTTGGAGAGCAAAAGTCACACTGGGACAAGACAAACAAAGGCATTTAGTATCTAAAATTATGTTTGCCTTTTGTTTGTCCTGTCGCAGTGCGACGTTTGCTCTCCAGCATGGCGGTTTTGTTCCACGTGAATGGCTAGCTGCAACGAGCCTATTGACAACTTCGAAATAAATTCTGAAGGTAGCGATCTTTTCCCCTCCTTTCCCCTTAGCAAGTAGAACGTCACGTGGTACAAAAACCGTGGTAAAAAAAACACGGAGACAAGACAAAAAGGGAAATCGCCATCTGAGTAAATCTTGAAGCTAAAGAACCGCCCCTTATTCCTAAAATTAATGTTACAAATTGAGGCGTTCTAAATCAACTTCCACGAAAGCGACATGAAAAGGAAGGAGACCTTGGTTATTTCCGGGACTTTACGGTGGTGTTTTAAAGTTTAAATTCGTCCTTCATTATGTTAATCTATCAGACGTCGCAGTTTTGTGACTTAAAAAAAATACTATAGGTTGTTCGTCGATATTCGGTGAAGTTTCGTCCTCTGGAGTGATAGCTGTTAGTAGTCAGGTTTTACTGAAAACGTCACACCACAGGATCGAAAGTTGATAGGCGAATCTTTGCTGACGTCATTTTTGTTCATTAGCAGACGAGTTAACCCATAGAAGGTGTCGTCGTGTATACAGACTAGGCGAAATCAAGTGTTAGGAAGTGCACGCGAGACCGATCGAAGGTCAGGACGCTCTTTGGCTTTCCTTTGTGTAAGTTTCACACGATAGGAGGTCAAAACGCGCGTGATCGTGATGTATTCTATACATTCCATTCATTCTTAATGGAAGCTCAAACAAACGCTGGCTACATACGCGCCGCGCATGCGTCATAGCAACCTGAAGATTAGGATTGCGGTCTCCTCCGGTCGCCCGCAGTTAAGTTGACACTTTGAAAGGTCTAGTTAATTTTAAAATTTGTGCAATTTTCAGCTGCAAGCAATCTATAAGGAGATAACAGCCATCGAAAACTGCGAAATTGTTAAGTGGCAAAAAAGTAAAATTGCAAAACTTCCAGTTTTTAAAAAATAATTTCTCCGAAACTGTTCTGTGTATTGGGTTCAAATTCTCAGAGATACTCATATTCCTGTCTTTCAATATTCAAAATACATTAATGAGGCAAAAAAATGTAAACAAGGATTCGCCTATACAACTTATCAACTTAATGCACGTTTAATCAGGACTTTAAATGATATTGTAAATTATATCAGTAGAGTTAATTTAAAAGGTGTCCATACTCCGTTGTTTTAGCTATTGTCCAGTATCGTTCAAGTCTCCTCGCAGCAGTTTTGTCACACAACGCTCCTCCCCATGGCGAGCCAAGCGTGACGAGCCAAAACTGGGCTGCGTGGTAAACCAGTATACCGTGTGGCACGAAATTTTTGCGGTTTTTCCAGCGATCCGCAAAAATAAGTTCGCGCAATTAAAAATTACCGCAAAAATTTACTCCGGAGTAAATATTCTCCAAGTTAAATTCGCTACACAAAAATACAGTAAGAAATCGTGTCTGTTCAATAACAACTTGTCTCTTTCATTTAGGAACAACGAAATACTGGTTTATTGCTTGAAAATATGTATTTCTATTGCACGTACTCAGTAAAAACGAAAATATTATCAATGATGGAACTGGGTACTTTCAGAAAATCACAAAAATTTATTCCCAGCAAGAAAAACCAATCTGACCTAATCGCAGAAATTAGTTCCCGCAAAACACAAAAAATCGCCAATCCGCAAAAATAAACTCCTCCAAAAATTTCGTGCCACACGGTACTTAAAGGATTAGAGAAATTACCTGGGCCTGTCGTTAAGCTTTTTAGCCTCTACAGCGATCGGCATCTAAGTTCTCCTACGAATATTAAGGTGTAGTCAGCCAGAGAGGTAATGAGAGTTAAGGTTATGATAGGCCAAGATAAATTTTTGTGAACTTGACAGCTTCTCGTTACTTCTTTTAGAAATGTGGGTGGACAAGAAAGGAGAATTTGTGTGCTGTTAGTGGGAGTTAAGTTAACGGGGGGCTCCACTGTTCCAATGCGAGTGGAATTTTCGCCGTGGTAAAGGTTACAGAGTTTAAAAATGGGTACACTCTCGTAGAGCAGTTTTGGTTTAATGTCGAACATCATTTCCTTATTGTCAAGGTTTTGAATTTCAAAAGTTTGCTGTTGGCGAAAAAATCTCGCCCTATTTTCGCAACCAATCAGAATGAAAACTGAAACCATTCGTCAATTGCTCTCATCGCTCCTTTTCCCGCGCAACACTGGCTGCGGGTGTTTTTGCTTTGATACCTGATTGGTTCAATTGATTGACTTTCCTTGTTGTGATTGGCCAGAAGTTTGATTTTGGTTAGATACCTGATTAGTCCATTTGATTGACTATCCTTGTTGTGATTGGCCAGAAATTTGATTTTGATTCCTGATTGGTTCTTTTGATTAACTAGCCTTGTCGTGATTGGCCAGAAGTTTGATTCAACGACATTGTTTTGAAAACTGCTCTATCAGCTTTAGACAACCAAGAAACTAAACGATATTTCACTCACAAAGGGCAAAATGTCCTGAAGAATGTTCCCAGTTGACTATGTTTGGATGGTTATAAAATAATTAGGACCTTTGCAGTGCCGGATCCACACCTTGAGATAAGTTGGGGTGGGGGGGGGCGGTCATCCAGACCCTTAGGTAAGGGGGGGCTGCTCTCCAAAAACATTTTTTCGGCCCCTCGGGCCTCAGTTTGGTCTAAAACTAAGGGTGCCCCTCTCCCTTGGATCCGCCACTGCTTTGGCGACATATTGCGTTGCGCAGAGGTTGTAATAAATATATATATCTTACACTTTAGAAAGTAATTTTAAGAAATAACCTAGAAATATTTTAATCATTTCGTCACCATGTTGGTCTGTGGTGCGCTGCAAAAAGCGTTTTTATTTCTAGTTATAAAAGCCCAACAAGAATTCTTAGTGATGGTAATCATGTTTTTATACGAGTCCGTAGTTGTCCACTGCGTAGCGTAAAACATCAGAGCTTCACCACGGTTAAACGAGAGAAATTGCAGTTTGTTGCGTTCACTGTGAAAAGTGTATCACCAGCACACTGTAAATTTACTGAACTTTATGAAAGTGACTTACAAAGATTTTTTAGAACTGAAAATGATACTACTGTTGACGTTATTCGCGAACGCGTTTTTCCTAAGGGGTGAAGAGTTTTCAACGAAGCGATGCTCAGAATGCAAAGAAAGTAACATGCCTCATACGTTTGACCGTGAGAGAAAGGGGGAAACCTCGCTTCCAGGGACGCTCCAAAAGAGGAGATACCCTGGCCACTAGGATGATACAGGGTTGATTGCTAACTATAGTTAACGTGCTGTAAAAGCGCTGCATTAGTGGCAACAAGATTCAATATGGTGGCCGAGAACCTTTTACGTTGTGTTAAATAAAATACTCCCTGAAGTTATAATGTTACTGAACTTATCCTTTTAAAGACACAATCGTTTATATATCAATAGTGTTACTGGAGAGAATGTTTATAATAAAGAAACTGCCTTGGTTGGTTGAGTTGTGAAGAATATTAAAGACATGGAGCGAACATAGTGGCTCCCTAATCTACCTCTATGGTCTCTTATGTTTTTGGTTTCCAAGGTAACAGTTGATTGCGGCACTCTGACTGAGGACAGAACACACTTCAGCAGCTCAGCTGTGAAATGTGTGGGTTCCGTAGGGGAGGGGGAGGTGGATCCCCTGTGAAGTGATGGGGATGATCGCCTCTCGCCTAGGGATGGGTAGGGGTGTAAATTGCAGACATAAGTATCTGGTTTAAAAAAAGAACTGTGTTAAAGGCACATTCGCTTTTAACAGCTTATTAAGCATAATTTAAGTCAGTGTAGCTTTTATTTGCTTGTCTGTTCTAGTGAGGTCTCCTTTGGGTAGCCTGCGTGGAAGGCGCCAAAGGGGGTGGGGGTGGGGGAAATGCGAAAGGCAAAATCCCCCTCCCTCACCCCTTTCGACGCGTGCCACCTTTAGTTCATAATCATTGCCTTAAATTCTTTTCACTGTCTTACGTTCGGACGAGCTTTCCAGTCCTTTTTATATGCCAGTCGTCCCTCCCTGCCATCCCTCTGGAAAGTCGGTGACTTTTAGGACCTTTAACAGACTTTTTTGCGAGTGAACGTCTCTGAACTACGACACAATTGATTATTGAAATTGCTGATCAGGGCAGTATATCCATAAAGGCCGCGTCTAGCTTTACCTGTCACCTTTCACGTCGGTGGATTTTCGTCAAATATAGAAAGTAAAATTAACAAAACTGGATGCGGGAAGGTGAAAAGTCAACTTCAAGAGTCGTCCTTTTTCCGAAAAAATTGAGTGGGCGTAAACTTTTTTTTGAGACTCTCGGAGATTTTCGGGGCTCAGTCGTGGACTACAAAAAATCCTGTCATTCTCGTGAATCGAACCTTATCCCCGACCTAGAAAACCCGATCAGTCCGAGACGTAGCCTAAAATTCATCCGATTGCTTCGAGTCGTTTACTGAGGGAGTAATAACGACTCGAAGTAATCGGATGAAATTCAGGCTATCCGAAACGTTGTTCTGATTCAAAAGGCTAACACTAGAAAACCGAATTTGCTTTTTCACTCTCCTATCAACTCAGCACCAGAAATTTTTTACAACGTGACCCTTTAATTTTATTCCAAGCCCTTTTCCCGCATTTTGTGAGCGTGGTTTCCGATTTTTTCCTACCGTCACTGGAGCAAACGGCAGGGATAACCACGTGACCGGTAATTTTTCCCGCCATTTCACCGTTTGCGGCTTCCCGTTTTCAACACGAGGAAAAAACTTTTCATGCAATTAAACGTGGTGAGTATTTTTTCTTTTCATTTTCTTAAATTATAGAGCCAATTTCTACGCTGAATATAAATAATTTACTATTCTAAAGAACTGTAAATTTGATAACCATTGAATTATAGGGGGAAAGGCAACACATTGCGAGAATAAGCGATAGGTCTCAGAGTTGTTTTTTATTGCTCGACGAATTCTTTTTAAAAGTTTATATGTTTAAGGCTTCTTTATTTGTTGTACGTTGAACAAACGGTTAATGTTGCCTTGTTATTCGAAGTTTGCAGACGCCGGGACCATGGTTGTAGAGCTTCGTCGACGAATCAAATGTTTCTCAGGTTACAAGATATACAACAACGTTAAGAACCAACGTTCAACAAAAAAATTGCTTAAGAGCGGTCATCTTTTTAAGGCTTCAGGTACTAAAACAGGTACGTACGGATTTCAAAGTCAGGGGTTTTGGCTCTAGCCTGGGAAAACAGCCGTTTTCTCCACGCTCTTCGCCGCTGGGGACGTTTCGCGAGGAGGAACTTCTGCAACTCAGCGACAGAAATTCCAAACTGATGACGTAAAATCTGTCCGGAATCCTTGGTCGACGTGGTAGTTACATTGTTTTAGCTATTTTTTACGAATGACCGACAAAAGGCCACAAAGGTCAAATGTAAACGCGGTGAATCTCTAACAATACAGTCAATATTTGTGGAATATAGTCTTCTCTAGAAGAAGCATTTGGGATTTGCTGGAGCCCTCTCGCAGATGTAAACAACACTTTTGCAAAATCGACCATGATAAACGTGGAACCCCATAACTACCGGTTTTATTATTTTAACATTGATTTACGTCATCAGTATGGAATTTTTGCCGCGGAGACACAGACGTTCCTCCGTGCGAACCGTCCCCATGCCAGCGGCGAAGAACGAGGAGAAACGGCTGTTTTTAGTTCCTGCCGTTAAATTATGCAGAAGCCAGGGTGGGACGTTTGTCACTGAGATATTTAAACGCGCCAGCCATTACGTAAACTGAATAGATAGTCTGACCCCGGGTCTTAACCTCAACAGAACCGCATAAACAAATACCGAAAATGGTCCTTTTCACATCAAGCGTAAACTTCCAAGACTTGTTAATCAATATGATTTATTTTAACCCACAGAGGTGGATCCAGGAATTCCTCCCAACTTCCCCCCCCCCCCCCCCCCTGTTATTAAAAAGCAAATAATTCAGGCCCTGGCTAAGGCTCCTTTTTACCCGATTTATTAGGGAGCTTAAGCAACGTCGACGTCAACGAGAACGGCAAAAAAGCAGTAGGTTTAGATTAGCAAAACAACAACTTTGCACGAGCATCACGCTTTTTTGTACATTTCCTTACCGTCACTGCACGACTAGCTACGACGTGAGACTTCCTAATTTCACGTTTTATGGAGGACAGGAACACATGACAACGAATTTCTTTTTCTTCTTGTGAACTCAGATACAGTCCTTCGGAATTAAACTCCTGAAAAAATCGCCAACATTTGACAAATTAAAAGAGTTGCAATAAGAGCGATGAAGTTTGAAGCAGTGCTAATTCACGTTTCGGGTGACGTTTGGCGGGGCTGCCGTTGCCGTCGTCGTTGCGTAAGCTCCCTAATTTAGTTGGGGGTAGGACGGGTGGGGGAGGGCGGGGCTAGGGGATCCGGTTCCCTCTGGTCTTCTTCCCTTGTGGGGGATCCGCCACTACCCAGTAACGTCGTATTGATTAAAACAGGGTTCGTACCCTTTTTGAACAAAAAATTCAAGGAATTTTCAAGGACTTTCAAGGAAACATTTCCAGTTTTTCAAGGACTCCATTCAGTGCAAAAAAGAGCCTTGAGTCTGTCTTTTCTGGTTCTTCCACAACATGAGCAATTCTATCCTCACAGGTCTTTGTGTTTGCTCCTTTTAGACACTTGAGAATCTGGGTTGGATAAAGCTAGCACCGAAATTCAAGGATTTCTAGCACCGACTGCAATTTTCAAGGACTTTCAAGGTGCGTGCGAACCCTGTTAAAAGTAGATTGGGAGTGTGTTTTTTTTGTCTGCCCACAAATCAGCTAGAAGTTTCTCGAAAACGCCGATTTTTTTTCCTGTTATCGAGTTTAGAGTGGTTTCCTACCCCCCGCCCCCGCCCTTCAACAGACGTCTGTCGTCAAACTAGAACTTTACTGAGGTAAGTTTTTGCGAAGCTTTTATAACCAGTAAAATCTGATCCTTACAATTTTAATTAGCTTTACCTGGTCAGTTACATTTCCATGGTGTTTATTTACATGGGAATTTTTTGGGGTAGACTTTGAAAGGAAAAATCTGTCTCTACCTGCTACCATCCTGTTATTCCTGCTCTTGCCGTTTCGTTTCTGAATTTATTTTCAGCCGTTTTCTTCGATATTTCGTAGTGGTTGTATAGTCGTGGTAACAATGGACTTGAATGGAGCAAATTGCACCCGAACGGAATTTAATTTGAGTGCCGCAATGAAGTTATTGAAAAATTTTAAAAGAGCATAGAAAGGTTTGATTAAAAAATGCTCAACTACAGAATATCCCGGTGAGCCATTTTCCCGGGGAGACTCCCATATAAAAGTGCCGGGAATGCTCGTGCGAAATTTAAACCGTAAGGGAGACCAATGTGGGTGTGCCTCAAGCTTAAACTGGCCCCTAAGGGAGATTTCTGTGTGGTCAGTGTCAGGGCATTTTATAAATTTCTTTATGCACAGTACTAAACGATACCTGAATGGGCAAATATAGTAACTTTCCATCCCAAACAGCCTAAGTGAGACCAAAATCTGAAATTTACACCCCAAAGCGAGACGAAGAGCATCCCCACCACTTTTATATGGGAGTCCCCCACAGGGGCCACATGTAAGTTTAAACTTCCGGAAACCAGAAAAGTTAATCTCAGCCTTAATGTACCTGTCCAGGCCAATTTTGGTCATTTTAAATGCAAAACACTGTTCACAGTATGTCCCTGGATACGTTAAGCCCTATTCACACTAGCCTCCCACGCAGGCGTTTTTAGGAGAACTCGTTTTTCATCCCTCCCAGTGTAGGCTACATTCACACCAAAGCTTAAACATGAGCTCACATGTTTAAAAACTGTTTAGTTAAACATTAAATTTGTTTTCTCCATAAAATATGTTTACTGTACTTTTATTGATGGCAAATTTAAAGCTCATTTGAATTCTGTGTAAAAGCCTGTGTTCTAGTAACTATTTTTCATTTTTTTAAAATCAAATTTAATTAAAAATGTTTAGTTGGTGCAGAAGCATATAACCGTGAAAGGATTATCTGCTTCTGGTTGATGTTAGTGGGGCCGAGGGCCAATTTAGGCCATTTCTTCTCTTATTCAGCGCATTTCAAAGCGCACACTTCTTTAATTTGCCGCTTAACTGGTTGTAAATAATTAATGATGTCCAGCCATTCTGCGCGGGGAAAAACCGATCTGGAACATTTGGTCCTTTATTTTTTGTACATTTATTACGTCAAAAAATAATACCTTTCTTAAATGCATTCCTCGATGAAATAAGACCAAGAAATAGACAGAAAAGACACTAAAAACAAAAAGACAAAAGAACAAACTAAAAGAACAAACAAAAAAACACTGTCTCATTTCCTGAATTTCTCTCTCTAATGGTTAACCGACAATAAACTTAAAAAACTGGAATGTTCTTGGGTAAAAGTTTTTTCGCTGACAGCGATTCATAGTAAGGCATGCACTCTTCCACAACAGCCGCCACTTCCGGTGGGAGATCCTCAACATCGAACACAGCGCATGGGCGACTTCTGTTCTTCTTGACTCTAGCTTTGAACCCAGAACTCTTCAGTGCATCTTCATGCCATCCGGCCCAAACATCCCATTCAGGAACCGGCCCTGGCTCCCAGGAAGTCATGTTCTCTTCAAACTCTAATCCAACAGCTTCACAGTAGCTCTGCATCATTTCAGTCGGATAATCCAACAAATCGTCTGCGTCCACGACTATGGGGTTGCTGTGAATGTGCCTCTCGACAAACTCACACAGCTCCCCCATCTGGCGAAATCCCGCTTCTGCGGGATCGAAGTAATCCCATCCAGTAAGCTTCGGGTTTGTAGAAGCTTTGTACAATGAGTAAACTGCCTTAAGAGGATGGCGGATCAGAAATGTGTGTTGAAAGTCCTTAAAACCTTCTTCTGTGAAGATGTGGAACTTGTTTTCTAGGCAGTAAGCCATTTCTTTGGTGAAGACGAAATCACTTCCGTCGTACTCTTTCTGAAGCAGTTTACTTATTGAGCGGTAGGTTGCCTGCTGGTTGATCTCTTGGGCTTCGTATCTAGAGCTTTGTCTCTCTGTGCCGAAATAATGGGCTGCTGAGTACGGCTCGTGTAAAATTTTTGAATTCTTCAGCGTCATTATCGATCTCTCAAACGCTGTTGAAACACATCGTGGTGCAGTCCAAAGAATAACACGACGTTTAGACATCTTGTAACGTGAATATCCACACTCAAAACCAATTTGCTGACGGAAAACTGACGGGCGTTAAGTGCCTGAGTATTTCGCTCGTTTGCGAGCAACAGAGCTTTCAGAATTTTTTTTCTACCGCTCACCCTTTTTTTCGCTGAAACCGCCTCCGTTGCTCCGTATTGATCGTAGTACTAGCAGCTTAGGTTGTCGACATCTGATTTATAAAAGATTACTTTCCCGCTGTTGGTGTCCCAGGTGCGAAAACTTCTCCCCACGCATTTTGCAAGTTAACTGTTATTCAATGAAAACAGGTGTGCATGTAAAGAAAAAATTTTCTTTCCTATGAAAAAACAACCGGGCACAATCTCTAGAAGACAATGACTGCGGCAGAATAAAAGAAAATTTAAGTTAAATCCATTTCAGTACACTCTTTGAAAGCCATAAGACAAAGAGCTAATAATAACTTGGGCGCTTAAAGTTTAATGAGCACTCTTGACCAGTTTTTGAAATTCAAACTTTGAGTATTATTCAGTAAATTTTGGATTAAAAGTATACCCATAGAGAATGTTATCTCTCTTTGAGGATTGAATACCATCTGCCGTATGACGTCACGTATTGAATCCTCAATCTTAAATTTTGTTTCAAATTTTCATTTTTTTTACAAAACTACTTTTGCGAATACATTTTAAAGATTTTTTGGCATGATATCAAAGAATCGTTCATTTCTAGGAAATATTGCTGTAAATTATTGCAACCATTATTAATTCAAAAAGCGTGTTACGGATGGCTTTCATCTTCGCGGTTTTTGATCATAGATTAAATTGCCCGGGCGTGAGAAACCACCATAAAAACTTCAAAGGGGGATTTTTTATCATTTATTAGATAATTTATGGCGTATATTGCGTTGCCTCTATTGATTATTTTGATTCTTACATCGTAGATCGAGATGTAATCGTATAATTTTAATACTGCACATTTATTTTTGCAATAACACTTCTTTCATTCTCAAATTCTAACCAGTGATGACCTTCCGAAAGAAAAGAAGATAAAAGTATGTAGGAAATCGCTTTGAAAATACGACAAATTTTTTTAGTGTCAGCGGATGAAGGTTAAGACACATTGACCAGACTGACCTTAAAGTTGACTGGCAATGATAAAGTAAACCTCTTTATAGCAACCAAATCAGCGACGAACCAACTGGCCTTCATCAGATCGAGTTGAGATTTTAAATTGTTGGTTCATACCACCACACCCAAGAGTGAATTTAAAAATTAACAATTTGTGGAACTTAACTTCACAGCGTTGTAGTTCAACTGGTGAAAAATATGGCTTGGAATTTACCAAACTGTTGTTTTGATTTTATACCAAAATTTAAGTGGAACTGTCTCTGCTTGTGTGAAGTACTAACAACTAAAAGCTTGTTTTATTAGCGTTCACTTTTCACTTCATATGGTCACAAAACCCAAAATTCAACGACAGTCCCAATCTTTTTTCTTTAGCTGATTCACCGAGCGTATCCTTTACCATCTTTCTTCATTTTGCCACCACACAATGTAACAAACCTTATTGCAGCTTCCTGGCGGTTTGGGGCAATTTAATGGTATTATCATCGTTCCGTAAAAATTTTTCTTCCTTTTCATTGGCCGAGAGCACAGCACGTGACCTGCAAATAACTGCCTACAAATAATAGTATCCCAGCATCCTATTACAAATTTATCCAGCTTTTTTCGTCTCTTCAAGATACGCTACAAACCCGCGACTAAGAAAAGCTGCATTTTCCGGAGAAAAGCTAAACAGATTCTTACATAAATGGTAATTAGCACAAATTTAGGCTATTTTGGTTCTTAAAAAGGTTTTTATCTTCTGAAGAAACAATACATTGTAGCTAAGAGTATTTAGTGGTATTCATCTCATTCTTTACTAGAGGTGAAACCTGTATACCATTATAATTGCAGTTAAAGAAACGAGGCACCTATGTCTCCAAAGAGTATCCTGTACAGATTTTTTTAAATATAGATATAAGAAAATAAGAACATGTTTCAAATTTTAGGCTCAACAGGTTCTTGTAAAGAGGGGCTCTAACTAGGAAATTTAAGCATAGCAGGTTCTTAAAAACCAGCTGCTTCTTAGTCGCCGGTTTCTACTGTATATTACTGATTTATCGCTACCGTTTTGTCTCAACATGGCCTAAAGAACAAGATATACCCGCATCACACGCACTGCTTTATTCAACGTTATTCTCTGTATTACAGCTGATAAAATTTCGAACATGAGTCACATGACTATACATTTCAGGCGACATAACTCTGGTTTCGATTTTCGAGCGATTTGATTGGTTACCGTCTACACATTGAAAGTCAAGAAGTTTTCTTTTCAAAAATAAACCATTCATTCGGGAGTTGTGAAATTTCCACGAAAAGTGATGTCCAAGATCGCATGTAAAGGTTCGCAGGCAGGGAACTGAGTCAAGGTAGGGGGACATATGCAGCACATTCATAATGTCCCTCGGCATCATAGCGTCCTCTTGTAGACAGATGAATTGTGCCTAGATGGTATTCACCAAAGCTGAAGTCTTCAAATAACTGCAAACAATGAAAGAAATAGATTGAAAGTTATAGACAAAACATGCAACAAATGAAACTCATCATTTAGGAGCAAGAGTGGTGCAGTGATAAAAGCACAGGTCCAGAGACGACGACGCACGAACCGACTTATCTCATTGACGTTTGAAGTATATGACTCGAGTGATCAACCAATTTTTAAGCAGGGAGTCTCCCCTGAGGTCCAAACCCTGTACCCTTTTATATACCATTTTTAATAGAAAAGCAACTCCTTTTGTATAACCTTCTATTGAAAAATGGTTCCCCGTTTCACACACCCAGCTTAGAACTTTGAATTCCTTTTAACTGATATGTAAATGTAATGTCTTAAAAATATGAATATATCATATAACCAGGACGTTTTCACGTCTAACTCTATCATAGCCATAAAATGCATCAGTTACAATCCCTCTTGGGTCTTTTTACAGACCGAAAGGATATATTTTCCTACCCTTTCATATACTCCCTACCCTTTCAAAAAACCAAAAGCCTGAAAAGAGTACCCCTTTTGGGCGGGGCCTCCCTCTATAGACCATTATGGGGATCCCCCAGGTATGTAGCCTTACCGAAATAATTTTCCTTGCATCAAATGATAATTTCTTTACAAATCTGGGGGGCACATCTGTTCGGCTTTTCTTAGCTGGGGTTTGTTCATCAGTGTTGCGCAGTTTGGAATTCATGACAGTTGCGTGTAGCTTGACTTGGTCATACTGTTTTTTCATCAAACCCTTCGATACAAATCTCTCAACAATTGCATCAGCCAGCCTTTGGAGCCTAAATTAAAAGACATATAAAAGATACTGAATATTGCATATTCAATTATTCCTACCATTTAATATTCTTATCGTTGTTGGTTCATGTTGAAATCGTGGCAGATTTTAAAGAAGAATTAGTGAAAAGACGTTAAATATTGGTAGTGATTGCTAAAAGCAATGGTAATAATAATTAGAAGAGAAACATTTTCGTGGATTATATTTCAAGAGATACTGAGACATTATGATCTTTTCTCTTTTTTTTTCTAACAGATGTTGAGGTACAAATTTCGTTTTAATTCTTTTTAAGTGAACCACTGTACATAGGTCTTTTTTACGAGTATTGAATAACGATTTTTTTATTTTTATCATATAGAGACGGTTATAATTATCTTTACCAAACTTAAGCCGTGTCCACTTGTATCCGAATATGTTTGAAAACGGAGATTTTTTCTCCGTTTTCAAGAATATCGGGATAAGCGTGGGGCAAATACAAAACAATGATAAGATCGACCTGTAGGAGATTTTGTGAGCCCGCGACACTGAGCAACACCAACAAACCCTTGTTTTTCACTAAAACCGCTGGACACAACACCTCCCCTGGGTCGATGTTATATTGTCACAACTTAGGTGTGGACGGGGCCTTAGATCGCTATTAACTTTTAATGAAAACGTGCAACTTGTTATGCAAAATTGCTGCAAAACGAGATGAATAGCGATGTTGCGCGTTTTACGACCCAGGAATCAAACCTGCCTTGCAACAAATCAGGTTGTCGCAAGTTGCGAAAGTTGCTGCGGAAAGTAGAGAGTAACATAGTATGTACTCATTTCGCGTTTTACCGGTCCAAGGCAGACTAGCTTTGCAGCAAGTGACGTAAATCCTGTGTATGGCATAACTCCCGCTTGACTTTAACCAATCAGAGGTCAGTGTTTGTGCAACATGCAACAACCTGATTTGCTGTAAGACAGGTTTGAACGTGGTTGGTTATGGTAAAACGCGCAACATCGCTTTACAACACACTTTGCTGCAATAGGGACTTTACGATGCGACGACGGCGACGGCAACCTGAACGTCAAAACAGCAATAGGTCTCATAGGCAAAACAATAACTTTGCACGTGCAGCACACGTCTTAATTCTGGTTTTATGGAGGACATAAACAAGTTACTAGGAACTTTTCTTTCCCTTTCTGAACTTGGAACTTTGGAATTCAACTCTAGGAGAGTTCGCCTACATTTGACAAAGTAAGTGAGTTAAAATAATTGTGATAAAAATTGAAAGACCGTTAATTCACTTTTTAAGCGACGTTATCATCTACTATAAGGAATTGTAGTACACTTGTATCATGTAAGAATCAAATAAGGGAAAAAAATTGACGGAAGTTGTAGAAAGGTCTGTCATCCAGGCTGTTTTTTTATGTGCGTCATGAATGATGCCTTCTCGTGCTTTTGTTTTAATTGGTTTTACTGTTATTTGGTTAATTATGGTTATCTATGCATCCGAGAAATTTTGGTAGTCACGTGACCGTACGTCCACCCGCCCCGCGTCCGTCCGCACCGCAGGTATACCAATGTAAAATAATTCAATCAACAGGTATGGCAACCCAAATGGAACTCGAGGTTTTTGGCGCGAAATTGCGTGGCCACCCGGACTTTCAGAGAGAAAAAGCAACAATTAAGTTCAGTCTTTTTTCGACTAAGTTTTAGTGTCTAGACTGACGTGGATAACAGAGAAAGAGCGAGAGCGAGAGATAAAAAAACAAAGGAGACGAATTTTGCTGGAAAGACAACGTGAAAATTTTGTATCGGCCAGCCGTTAGAAAATGAGAAATGCTAGTGGCTGGCAAGGAGAAGCTAGCAAGGTAAAAATGAGCGGCAGCGAAAAAGAAAAGCGAACAGGAACACAAGCAACAAATCTTTGGTGAGCACATAGGACACTTGTTTTCCATAAAATGTGTAACTAGAAAGTTTTACGCTGTGGTCGTGCAAAACAACGGCAAAGAAATTAACAAAAAAGTGTGCTGCACGTGCAAAGTTGTTTTTTGTTGCTAATTAGACTATTGTTTTTTTTGCAGTTCTCGTTGCCGTCGCCGTTTAACATTGCTCGATTTTATTTTTTGTTTGAGAAAATTGTAAGTGCAAGCTTCAATTTTAGTTCTGGCTAAAAAGTGACGTTTTCGCTGCCTTCGCCGTCGTGGTATCTTTTGAATTTCCTCTTATTCAGCTAGAGTGCTGTAGTAAAAAACTTCCAAGAGCATGACACAGTCATTTCTCCAGGTAATTCTAGAGATAAATTGTAGTGCAACATATAACAACAAGATAACATTTTTTATGATTACAAGTATCACCTGTCCGAGCCATCTTTGGGGAGAACTTTTGCATACAAAACGTCGACCTCCGCCGGATCATCATTCATGTACTCTACACCTTTAAGTTCTATTTCAACAGCAGTGTCCTGCAAATACTCCCTAAAGGTATTGAACAACGAACTATATTATCTCTCTAATAAGTTCCTATAAGTTGTATTTGTTATAGTGTAATCCTGGACCAGTTATCATGTTACCACGGAGTTGAACTGACGATTACACGGTCAACCAATGCAGCGAATCCACTCTTATCTTGTGTACACCTCTTTGCTTGTTCAGTAGAAATGTTTAATAGTATTGCGATATTTTGCCAAGGGTACTGTTGGTAAGGACACTTCGACTTCGCATATGGGCATAAGTTTGCTAAATAAGCATAATTATTATTCATACTGAACAATAATGTTTATGACAAAAACTTAGATCTTTCAAAAAAGATGTCAAATATTTACAGAAGAACTTGAAGTCATTGTAATTTATAAGGAAGGAGGCAGAGACATACATTCTCTAACAAAACATGGATGCATTTCAAGTACACTCTTAAACAGGAATGCAAATAAAAGTTGGTCATTGGACAAGGTACACCTAAAATTTGCCTGGGTCAAATAAAAAATTTTTTGGCATGTGGTAGGACAAGGACCGGGAAGTTCAAGCCTGACCTGTGGTACGCTACGAGGACCGGACAGTTAATGACTATCATGTTGAGTTGACGCTGAAGATTTGCTTAGTGCTAAAACATATACATGAATGAACATTTCTGGTTGGGCCGGCTAAAATACAACTGCAGGGACAAGTCGGTCAAAACATGTCCTTTCTGAAAAACATTACATCGCAGCTCTGTTTTTTAAAAGCACATACCTGACAAGTTCTTGGTAACATTCTGACAATAAGTCTGCTGCATTTTTCTACAATACAAAGATTGCTATATTTAGCTTTGTTTGTAAATGTGCGACCTTTGTGCAAGTACGTTTCAATAATCCCTCAAAATGAATATTGCACAGACCTTTAGAAGGATTTTATAAAGTTGACATCACCTGATGGTTTTCACTTTGTTGTGTGATCTTTCAACTCTTTTTCACCATTACCATCCAAAAAATGCTACAGTAAGAACATCTGAAAACTGTACACCACCACTCAAAAGTAGGTAAAGTAAGAGTGCTCGTTGCTTACAAGAGGTTTAGTCATATCTCAAGGTTTTTTTTTGTGTATTAATATTATTTTTCAACAAAAAGGGCACCTATCCAACACTCAAGAGTACTGTATCATAACTGTTGGTCAACATTGTGAAATAATTTTTCAGTTTATTGACGCTTTACCATTGTGGCAATCTAATCACTTGTGTCTGAAGTGACACAGATTGGCAAGAGGTACATACATATGTCGTGGTTCAATTTTATCCATGGTTTAATTTTCATTTCCCTTTGTTAAAACTCATTACCATACCCTAAAACAAAGGGAGGTAAAACTTCTGTGGAGCAGCTGTTTTGAAAGTTATGGACCAAAGGACACTCATTAATTGCTGATGAAGTTATAAGGGGTGTATAACTGTACACAGCTATTTCAAGAAAAGTTGTCGGAAAAAATGCGCATGCAACAGTCCCTAAAGGTAATATGGGATATGCTCAATACACTGTTCCAGACACAGTAGCTGTCAGACCTACTTTTGTTGCTTTCCTTTAGCACTTGCACTCACACAAGCTACTAGGATGCCAACAAATAAGAGGAAGTTTTAAAATTCCATATCAATCAAAAGTGGGTGCAGTTGTTTGCAAGAGAGAGTCACTGAATGACTTGAATGGATTATAAGTTTTTTGAATAGAAAGCCAGTGACAAGGTGGCCAGGGTTGTCATTAGTATTATTTAAAGCAAGAATAGCCATATTAATGTCAGCCAGTTTTATTGTGATCTGGTTCTAACTAAAACTCCTGTGTGGCCGCGAGAGAAAAATGTTCAAAGCTGCCTCTCTTATGATCCGCATTTCAAAATTATATACTGCATGCCACCAAGATAGTATCAGGTTCTGAGGGTGGAAGTTGTCTAAGAAAAACGGTAACAAGAAGGAAGGGTGAAAATTATTCTGATTATTAGCTGTTTGAAGTATCATCACCCCTCAAGAACAAATCATTCCTTTCCTTACCACATCTTTGTCACTCAACAAAGTCAGCATACCAATGGTCAAGTGAATTTTGCTTGGAAGTTGGAATATACTTGCATCTATTCCTCGGGACTGAAATAATAACATGGATAATTATGCCTCAGTGATTACAAGTACTGAAATTAAGGGCTTGAGAGACGGATGCCCAAGTAGTTTACAGTGACAGATTTTAGCTCGCAAGTCACCCTGAGTTCAAGTCCCCCTTTACCCAGCCGCTAGGGTTGATTACAGTTTTAATTTTCAAATAGTCCTCTGGTTTGCCTCCAGCTGGTTGGGATTTTAGTTTAACTTGCCATATTGTGAGTTATTTGTGGGTGACAGTGGATATTGTTTATTAGTAAAATCCAACTAGTGGTCTATTATCAATGCTGGCTTCTGATTGGTTGAGCTACTACTAGGCTATATGTTATAGCCTACTAGTAGTGAAAAGCGCACGCTTTTTGGAGGCAAAGAAGGATTAAAGTCTAGCTTTAACTAGCTAAATTTTTTTTTATTTTTGATATTTTTAACCAACTAGTTGGATTTTACTAAAACAATTATTCCTCTCGCCCTCATGGCCTCTGAGTCAATAGCCCATGGGCTATTGACTCAGCGCCCATTCGGGCTCAAGGAATAATTATCGTTAATAACCCCTATAAATACTACAGTTGACTTTCTCTTTATGAACACCTCTATAAGACAGACACCTTGACAAATGGACACCTAGAGCTGGTCCCTGCCTTTCTTGACTCCCTTTATTTGACCCAAGACTGACACCTCTTTAAGACGGATACTTAGTGCAGGTCCCAAATTAAAGGTGTCAGTCTTAGAGAGAGTTCACTATATGTGTTTATAGTTAGGTATAATTTGGTGGTATCGTTTTTTACTTTACGTGGTTATTGTGGTTTTAAAATCCCATAGCCATGTTTAAAACATTATTATTGAGAATAGAAGAGAAAAATGAAACATGAGTTTGGTGAAAAACCTACCTCAAAACAATCCTTGAGTACTCTTACTTTGAACTCAGCAACTTTCTTTTCCAAGTTGCTTTCATACAAAGGAAAACACAAGAAATGTGTAAAAGGAATCTTTTGCCTTGCAGATTCAGTTATTACTTCAATGCGGCTTCTTGCCCCCACTACACCACTCCTTTGGGTTCCTGTTATCACTGCAAAATGAGATACAAGGTAAGTCAAAACCAAGAGTCCTACATTATGGCGCAAGGTTGGGCAAAATGTCCCCATTTTATCAAGGGCAAGTGTAGAACAGATAGCATTATTTGCCTCTTATTTGGCATCTGAGCAGATGATATGCACTTTTAAAAAATACACTTTATTTAAGTGTGTCAGATGAAAGATCATTGATTAAACTTATGACCTCTGGCTCTGCAGTCAAGAGCTCTATTAACTGCGCTAATCCTGCCTAATATACAAGAGAAGTGACATTTTAAAAGAATTGTCTCCCCTTCAAAGATCAAAAATAGTGCTTGCATACATTGTCAGTCAAGAAGAGCACTCAGGCCTTTGGTTGGCTGCAAATAATAGGAAAATAAGGTGGAATTTCTTGGAAGTCAAGTTACATGGCAGGTCTGATAAAGGGACTTAAGGTGGCTGAACACAGTTTTGGCAGTTTCTGAGTACAGGTCATTTGCCAAATTATGGCAAGAGAGAGGTTGCAGCTCTCAAGCTGAAACTTGGCAAGTGAAAAATATAATGATGAAAGATTTTGACTGACAGGCAAAATTTGACGTTTTCGTAGTTTCCATGGCAACATGAACGATTGAATACAACCTTAAAATTTCACTTTTACTCAGTTTACATAAAATTCGCTCATTAGATTTTCCTAAAAACTCGCACACAGCTTACTATAATTAATCATGACTATTTGAAACTTATTTGACCAAATTTTAACAGACGGGTTTTTAGATAATCAATAATATAATTGTACTGCTATTATTAAATGTGTCACAAAATTCGTCTGTTCAACTCCCATTTTAAAGTTCTCATTATTTAAAATACGATAAAAGTAAAAATTCTGCCAAATATCACAAAATTTTAATGAGTAGATTTTGAGAAATCGTCTTCTGTGTACCATTGCTTTTTTCGCCGCCATGTTTGTTTGTCTAATTTAAAACATGCGCTACCGCTGACCGCCCGCGAAACTGTGTTCAGCCACCTTAATTAACCCATTCGCTCCTGGAGATTTTGCCGAAAAACGCGTTTTGAAGCTAGTCGAGTGGTTTTCTGGTCACTGTCGTGCTATAAAGGGCTAAAACTTACCACAAACCGGTTTACAGGTCATACACTTGGCGGCCTTCTGATCCAGATGCAAAATATGAGCTTGCGAAGTTCGGGCATGTGCAGAAAGCAAAATTTCGACATAGTTTTTGGGTTTAAAAGTGACACAGCAGTCTTGACTTTTACTTTTCGCTTTCTCTCCACCCTTCTTTTTTCACTTTTCTGGCCTCATTTTTTTTTCTCTTGCTGGGCATTTAGTAGGCTTCATTTTGGTGGGAAGAGTTTTTGGGAAAGCTTTTAGGATCTTAGGATTAGGTGAAAGGAAAGGTAGGTGGGTAATGGAACAAGATTTTCATGGAGATTTTCAGGTCCTTGTCACGTGGTTTTTTGCTTCTTTCTCCGGTGTCCTTGACTGAATTGTGCTCATTCTGGTATGGTTTGAAAGATCTCTTCACTCTGCACAAGTTAGCGAAGAAAGTTGTCCTTGACCGTTAAAACTGATGACGTCACAAAGGGTAGAAAGGACCTGGATCCGAACGGGCAGTTATGGGCGGTTCAGGGGCGAATGGGTTAATCACCAAAAATAAAACTCATTTAAAAACAAAATTATCTTTGTCGGTTGTTACCATGGGAAATCAGTATCAATCTATGAGTTTAATCAAAGGAACTGTCAAATGGGTCTGTAGGGACATTATATTTGTGGCACAAAAATAAATACAGTCAAACTCCATCAGCAACCATCTAAACTACAGTGTAAATGCCAAACTCTGTTTACCCAGTAGTCAAAGTTCTGTACTGTAGTAAAAACTTTCTCACAAGCAACCAGCAAATTTTGGCATTTTGAGTGGTCTCTTATGTGGGTTTTGACTTTAGTATAATATAAATCTGATAAAAGGTCTCACCTACATCTCCCTCCTGGCCCTGTCTAGGAATCCAAATACGTGTACCAGTGTCTTTCTCTATCTTCCTCTTTGTTTCCCCTCTTCTTCCAATAATAAATCGATGGAGCGAACTTGGCATTTCCATCGACAGCTTATAACCTTCATCAGTTTTTTCAACCAAACCAAATGTGTCGCAAGCTTCATCATCCAACGTTACCTCCTCTGCAAGTGACAAGTACATGATGTTCTCTTAACTAACTCATTTCTGTTGGCTTATACCGTACAATACCATTTCAGAATAGTGTTCATTGAATACTCTTTGGTTAGCCCGCTACGTGATATGTAAATCCTATTACAAATGCATATTTCTTGTTCTTAAAACATGCCATGCTGAATAACTACATACCACTTAGCCCACTTTTTAAGTTAAGATAGAGACTACTCTTGAATATGATATATGTGTACAGGGACAGTGAAGTTGGAGGGCTGGCCATGGGCTGGGGGTCTTTAGTTGGCCCCACTTTTTCTGAAAAATTTCAAGACTTACTGACAGAGGTGAGTCCAGCTCTTTAGCCTCTCCACCTCAATTCATGCTGTTTTCTACACTTTTAGTCTCTTAGCCAATGAGAAGACAGATAGTGACTTCAATGTATAGTAATAATAATCATCATCATCATAAAAACATAATAATAATAAAATAATAATAATAGATATCTGTAAATACGATTGATCGTACAATACGCTTTACATCCTACAAGGAAATCCAAACTAACTTACAAGTAAATTTTTTTTTAATACAAACATCCACCATTGACAACAACAAACATACAGAACAGTACGCTATTAAGCAAAGAAATGCAAAAAATTCTACCTAAAAAAAATTTATTCCTCTTTCGAACGTCACATCGCTTCTGTACTATGTTTCTTTTGTATGAATGAATCTAATGTACCTACCTTCGTTATTTCTTTGGCCTGAGTTCGAAGCCTGTTCAGGATAACGCTCGATTTTCTGCTCAAACGGCATTTTTCGGTAACATCGTCCTCCTATGTTTATCAGAGTTGGTTTCATTACATCCATGGTAATTAAGAAACTCCACAGTTTCAAAAGAAACATGATCAATAACTTCCTTCTCGGCCATGTCTGTCCGCCATCTTGAACGTTGGCCGAGTGCTGATTGGGGCGAGATTTGGTTCCCGGTTCACATCGGTTTACATCCGCCGGGGAGAGTAAGGAAATGGGTACGAGCGCAAGTTTCGGCAACTGCATTGGTTACCTTGGGCGCTTTCCATTTAGTCAAAATTTCCGGAATTTCCGGTTCGGCGGTAAATGGAACACGTTTCGTCGGTTCGTCCCACTGGAAAATTCCCAGAAAAAGTGGAAAATCTAAAAAGGTGGTCCCGTTTTACCGGTTGGAATTTTCGAACGGAATGTAGTGTTCCATTTACGTTTAAGGTAGTTTGTACCAGTTCCAGGTCCACGGTCGGGCACCGCCACGTACCGGGGTTTACGACCAAATGGAACAACTTTTTACCAATCGGAAATTCCACTTTTGCTACCTCCGAAATTTCCGGGTCTTTTTCCTAAATGGAAAGCGCCCCTTATTTCGGATATTACACCTCAGTGTCACTCCAAACTTTGGGTACAAAGTAATAGGGGAAGAAAGAGGATCGGAGAGTTCGTTTCTGCCCGCCCATGAGTGGAGACAGGCGCTAGGTGGATAGCTTTATTGCTTGCGGGCTATCAGGCCTGTCCACACCTTTTTTCAAGGAATCTTTCAGGTACCCCTTCTTGAATGACTCCCTGTCAGTCTAGTGGTAGGCTGGCCAGTTCGCCGTGTATAAGCTTGACAAAAGCTTGGTTCAAAGGGTACAGTACGTACATACAATCACCTACAATTTTACCTACAATTTTAGCGTAGCTACAAGCTAATATTTCCGAAAAAATACAATAGTACATTATTGTCAATCCAACAAGTGAACTAAGACTCAGGACCTTAAAAATGGCAAGTCCAGATCTGTGATCAGCTAGAAAAACCAAAGCCGGAAAGAACATCCAGATGAGCCTTTTCTGGTGTTTCCTTTCAGTTTCTTTTCTTTTCTTGTTCTGTATTTAAAGAGGCATGTATCTCTCATGCTCTGTAGACCTTACGAACGGGTTGTCCAAAGCAGGGTTAAGATAACCCAGGTTAGTGCGAAATTTGAATTCAGATATGAAGGCTAAATAGGCAGATACAGTTATATTCTTTTTGCCTACAATTTGATGATTGGATGCTCTAAAAAAATAGAGCAAATTATCCGGGAAAATGCTTTTGAGCAAAAGAAAAAGAAACCCAGGTTAAAATTTAACCCTGGGTTAGCGATAATCAGCCTTCGAACGACTGGGACCAGCTGCACGGCTCTACTTATTCTAAAGAGAGAAGGTTTCGTTTAGTGAAACTTTTAATTACTGCCTCGTTTCCATTCCTCCCTCTCCCTGTTATAAGGTAAACTGCCCACTTAACTGTCCACAGCCTCTCTATTTTTGCAATGCATACTGGAAAGAACTCGACAAATAGGGGTAAAAAAGCCAGCGTAGTATAGTAGGGATACAGGTAGCCTGAGAAAACGGACGACATTTAGCGACGCTGCCACTGGTTTCCCCGCCAAATGACGTCTGTTTTCTCACGCTGGAATACAGGCGTCCAAGTCATGTAAATAAAAATACGAGAGCTTAGAAGCTTAAACAGTCTAGTTTCGTGGCGCGCATGATTATCATAATGACGGAAGTGACATCCAGGTACTTAAGGTGACTCGACCCAGTTTTTTTTTGGGGGGGGGGGGGTACCATCCTAGTTTGAAGCTCTCTGGTATCCCCACCTTTACTTTTACCGTAAGTCTAACACATAAAATGGATAACATATAGATCAATCTACAATATAACATAAAATTTTTGGCGATCGGAGTAAATGTCACGTGATTATAATGCCACGCCCCTTTGAGGTCTGAGTCGAAAATCTGCTGTTACCGGCATTTTTTCGTGAAAATCTCTCGGCTACACTTAGTGCGCATTGGTGCCTTGCGCTGAACAGAGTTTCACCAAATGACCACGCTTGGCTGACTTCCGAATGCTCACCGAGATATTCCCGTCACGAGTTGGTTTAATTATTGGCTTGCATTAAACCTATGAAAAAATGATATTTTTTTAATAGTAAGTAGAATTAGTGTGTAGCACTTCTTGATTTTTTTGCAAAGGCACAAAAAGCACGAAAATTGATTAAAAATTGTGAATTAAACTTCTATGTATCACGCGATGGCCTGTCTCACTGTACCAAAATTATCGTATCTCGGTGAGCATTCGGAAGTCAGCCAAGCGCGGTCATTGCACGCGTGCTGAACAAGAATGCTGTATAATGACAGACTAGAAACAATAGACAACTCCCAAAGCACAAACTCAGCCAAAACGCTAAAAATCTTCAATGTTTACTCAAGTTTGGGCTTATAGAAGATAATGTCACAGTTTTTCAATGACCATGAAATTCAGAGTCCGGGTAGTTAGTTAATCAATTGTGGCCCTGAAAAAATTTGAAGGAAAAAAAACTACGAATTTTTAAGAAAATGCTTTTTTCGTGAAAAGGACTCTTAAACGCTGACAAACGTCAACAAATAGCGAAAACTATAATTTCTATATGTTTGCTTTGCTCGAAATCGCGCGCATTTACAAGGCCCTAAAGCGTTCTGCTGACTTGCAAGGACCCATCTGTCATAACGATGCCCAAAATAAAGAGATGAATCTCATAGTTTATTAGATATAATCCGTGTGAAGTTTGCTTATCATTTTCGCATAAATTATGACCTATATTTGGAAACCGCTGAATTTCTCGAATTAGGTCTTTGCGATTTTGGTGAAACTCTGTTCAGCGCAAGGCACTAATGCGCACTATGTGTAGCCGAGAGATTTTCACGAAAAAAAGCCGGCAACAGCAGATTTTCGACTCAGACCTCAAAGGGGCGTGGCATTATAATCACGTGACATTTACTCCGATCGCCAAACATTTTATGTTATATTGTAGATTGATCTATATGTTATCCATTCTATGTGTTGGACTTACGATAAAAGTAAAGGTGGGGATACCAGAGAGCCTCAAAGTAGGATGGTACCCCCCCCAAAAAACTGGGTCGAGCCACCTTGAAAGAACAACAGTATATAAATGGTCGCTTTATTCCAGTTATTCTGTATCCAGAAAATAAATAGGTCCCGGTATGTAGATGTGACTTCACATAAAGTTATAAACGAGACTTCTTGTTGATGAATTATAAGTCACGTTTTTAAATACAAGTCTGAGAGTCGTCATCACCCCAATTAGTTTACTACTAGAAAGAACTGTTGTTACCATTCAATGATACACGAAAACTCTAACTTGACTTGACTAGACTCATAACCCCGGATCTGCAAACTAACAACCTACTCAGCTTATCAATTGACAACCGTTCTTATCAGTTGTACGTTACAGGCTGGGATGACAATCTACAAACCTACGATTCCTCTCTGTCAAAATCATACACATTTTTCCTTAAATAAGTATAAAAAAATCTTGAGGTATATTGAATTTATTTTATAGTTCATTTTGAGACAGAGACTTAGATAATAATATATTAATACAAGAGAGGATTAGATGTTTATCCTCTCTTAATTATCAATAATGTGTCGTTCAATTATGATCCCAAAGGGGCAAGGATTTTCGTATCCTTTTCTTCTACATTATTGGTTCTACTTTGTATTGAATAAAAAATTAAGAAATAATATAAGGAATCGTATAACTTTGAACGCGGAAGGATTGACTTTGACTATGCGAATGGATTAAATTCAAATATGCTATCCACCACATTTCAATCCGAAACGTGTTTATCATTTTCCACAAAAAGTAAAAAGAAACTCATTTGGACCGTCTACTTTTCTTCTTTTGGGGTTTTTGCTATAACATTGGAATCGTGAGAAATTGTCGGCTATTCGAGATGCCTCATAGTGTGGCTCACAGTCTTAGTTCACGGTCATACTTTGTGTTATGAGTGCTAAGTAATCCTCTCGAAGACAATTAGGGATTCTTTGTCAGTCATGTGCCCGAAGGGTAGACATGATCGATGCAGACTCTTGGTCATTCTTAGCTAGGGCCAACGTTGACTTTGGTTACAGATAGAATGACTCTTTCATTTTCAAATGATGCTTCGTGTACAAACGTCATTCAGTGTCTAAACAGGCACATTACAACGTCGATCTTCTGAATGATGTTACATCACACAAACGTAACATTCACACCCATCGTAGAATTCGGACAAACGATCCCTTGTCCCCAAGGGCCACATACGTCCTATCGGTGCCTGGTATTGTCGTTGCTACAGCCGCTGAAACGCCTTGCGGGCTCGTCATGTGCGCTAACTGTAACCCTGTATATTTCAAACAAATGCATGCTTTTCAATGTTGTGTATCAATTTTGTCTCCACGATCTTTGAGATTTTGCTATGCAGCACCTATCATTGCCAAATCAAGACCCTTTCACGGTTTTTTCAACTTTTGAGTGGGAGCAGTTAGCAAAAGTCTGTCAACATGGCATGGCTAAAAAACGCCACAAGAAATTGGCAAAGACACTAAGTTTGAACATGATTTGTTGAAACATAACGAAAATACATCTCCCCAAAGTCACCTAATTTTATACACGCTTGTATTGTGAGGTGGGGGGGGGTCCGTGCCCCAGCCATTCAAGCGTCTGTAAAATTTCGCGACTTTGTGGAGAAATATCGTCGCTAGCTATTAACGTGTCACCTTCAAATTAGGTAAGTTTCCTAAGTTTAAGGCGTTCTTTCCAGCAGTGTCAATGGATATTCGCTAACTGGTCTTGGAAGAGCCTATCATGCAGAAGCCTGTTCTCGGCCTTGTGACAAAAATCTTAATAAGTAAAATCGTTAAAATGTTAGTGCTCGTCGACAGCAACAATTACGACACACTGACTATCCGTGCGCGACACAGTCTGTCTTTAGTTCTCTTGTTACTTTTAGCTGTATTTAGTTGTATTTATTTCCTGTAAACATGACCCGCCTAGATTAGCTTAGATACCCGCGCCGCGGGCATGTTATTGTACTTTTACCTCAAAACACGATAAAATAAACTGTATGTATGTATGTATGTATGTATGTATGTATGTATGTCCTTATTAGTCCCTGCACAGTGATATTTGACGGTCCATTATCATATAACCGTTTACAAAAACTGCGAAAGAAAAGAAATATCGGTCTTCATGTCCAGGATTTTGAAACTTCGATCCTCGCACCCACTGACTACGAAATCGTGGCCATCTATTTGAAAACAAGAAGACGCCCGAAGGCGTTTACACGGGATGAATTAGTGTAAGAAAGAATTACCGGTATGTTGAATGGCAATGGAAAGTTGAGTAGTTTATGCAACAAATGTTTGCAGGAGAGATGGAGAAGTTCTGTTAAGGACTAATACAACACAAGGGATCCTTTTCTACTCAAAATAAAACTGGAGTATGGGGTAGTTCACTAACATTTGCATTTCTTTACTAATGTCCTCAAAAAATGCACTTCCACATTTAACAATAGCATGTAATGTATCATACTTCCAGTAACTGCAGGGCTGCAAGGCTGTGCTCTAGGGAACATTTCAGGAAGTCCGAAGGGCTCCCCAAGTATTTTAGCTGGGGTGCCCGGGCCTCCAAGTTGGTTGCCCAAATTAATAAATCCAGTGAGCTGTTAGTTAATTATTAGAAATTAAACAAACTATTTTCTGAACAAGTCAAGCAGAATTTTGTGAATATTTTTTCATGAAAATTCACATCCCTTTGACCTCCTGAACGTGCGAACAAAAAAACCCGCATGTTGTCATATGAAAGTAAGTTTTCGCGCCATATGAGAAACATTTGCAACGCCGCCGAATATTTCATGTTTTTTAAATGGAAAAGTAAGATTCTGGTCTGTTTATGTATTTTTTATAAAAAAGATTTTGGGGTCAAAAATAAGGGCACTATTCTTTTTACTAATCATTTTGATTTAGGTTGAAAAGAAAATTCGCTTATTAAGATTGACTGAGATCCCGTGGAGCTTTCCAGGAAAACTGTTATGACTTCAACGAAACCGCGGCGCCCCCCGGGGGTTACTTGGGTTAATTTTTGCTGGGTATGTTCCGCTGGCCTCTCAGAGCCCCTACCCCATTATAGTCTACTCTGTGGCCAATTGTAGACCCCATATTAGTCACTTTTGGGCAAATATGTAATTTTTGCGATCCCATCTTAATCACTTTCTATTTATGTATCTAGCTTATCAATCCTTTAAATAGGTCATCAAAAAATGATCTGACCCATTTTTTAATAAATTGAATGAAGAACACTTTACTTTTCACCTACAGTACAAATATCCTGGTACGTTTGCTAACCGTAAATATGAACAACTCTCTAACCCCAAAAATCCGAGAATGTGCGACCCCATTCTAGTAACTCTATTGAAAATGCAACGCCATTATAGTCAATCCAGTCGTGAAAATGCGACCCCATCCAGCGGCACATGCCCATTAGCCTCTTATAAGGAAGTGCCCAAGTGCCCCCCCATTATCTCTTTTGAATAGATCATCTTGTTGTAAAGTCGTCGTTTAAGCGCAGAGCTGAAGTATTTTCTTTCTATAGTATCAGTGAAATGTTCAGGACAAATTAGCTTTTGTGGATTCGGGTAGCTTTTGCGTATTTATTTTTAGTAGGTGATACCATAGTTAATTGAGTGGAATGGTTATGAAACCCGTCAGACTCCTTTGTTATATGTTTTTGTGGACCTGAAAGTGCACAACGTTCAAAAGAATTCCTATCATTTTGATTGTATTGACCAATAAAAACGTTGCATTAATTTATTCCGTAACAATTTGCCAACAGAAAACAAAGGATTGTGCACTTTCACGGTGCTTTGAACATAAACTGCAGCACTGTTGTTTTTATCATTGATGTTTGCCGCTTTTCATAACCAGTCTCCTCTAATAACTATGGTGATACGTAATGCCATGTCACGACACGAAAGACAATGCTGGACTTTATAGATTTATACCCGGTTCTAAAACAATCACAATAATAGTCGTCTCTTTTCTTTTTTATACATCGTATTTTACTGGAATAACAATCTTAGTTATGCTTTAGCCTCGCTGACAGTGAAAAAAAGGTAAAAATATTTAATTAACATAAAAGAGCGACTCCAGTATTTCTTCACCGATTTCTCAAAATACAAAACTATTGTTTTGCATCGCCGACCGTACTTAACGCCTGTCAAAGCAAAAGTAACAATTTGTTTCGAAAAACTAACTAATGAACCATCCTAATTTGAAGAAAAAATTTCAATCTTATTTTGAAAAGCGCGCTGTTACTATCGAAAATTGTGCGGCTTGTCACGTTCATAGTCAAGGATATGTTACATGTGAATTTGCGTGAAACGACCTTTAAACTTCAACGCGTGCCCTCTGCCCGATTTAACAACATTTTCTTAAAGCTTTTTGATAGACATTCTATCCGCAAGAGTTCCTTAGCAAGCGGAGCGTTCTTTTTTAGGCCGCGAAGCGACCGAGGGAGCTACGATTTCGCAAGTAATAAACTCTAGACATTCTAGCTTTTTGACTGTAAATCAAGAAACCAACACCAGCAAGTCACCCGGCTGGGCCACCTAGACAATATTTTCAGTCGCCTGAGGCCAAGTCTTGCGCCGTTAGATCTAGAGCACAGCCTTGAGTCTTTGTCCTCCTCTACGCTGTAAGCCAGAAGCATATCGGGGCTATATGCTTCTGTGTAAGCTTACTTTTCCCTTCTTTGCTGACGCAGTATCTTTTTTTTGCTTGTGCAATCCAACCTGACTTGCACGTGATTTGAAGTTGCAGCCAATAAAAATCACACAATTTTTCGGGACGGGCACGGGATACGGGAAAGTTAAAAAGGCAATTTTTGACTCCCAAGAAAACGAAAGGAATGCGCTCCCGAATTTAAGACGCTGGCTGACTACGTCATCCCGCGTAACTACTGATACCTTGAATGACAAACAAAGAAATAATAAAGTTAGTAATTGTAAAGACAGTAAGTCATCCTTACGTTCACATGTTTTCAGACAAAAGTATTACCCATTTTAACTATGAATTTACCATAGAGGTAGGTGCACGCGAAACTGGGTTGGTCTTGTATCAAACTGCATTGTAGGACAATCGTAGAGCGCTCTATCGCTTCTCCTGTTGACTTTGCGTAGTGCCTGCACGGCGTTTTCCCAGTCCCTCTCGGTCACTTTGGCTGCGCGGAATAATGAGGCCTAGGAACTAAGGAACTGTTGACTATCGCTTAGACTTTCAAAAAAGTCCTTCGTCCGCTCGCCAAGAGGTCGAATTGTAGCAAGTCTGACTATCGCTTTATCACTTCTACTAATTTCAAGGACGCGCGGGAAACTGGGGTAATTAAAATTTGACCGCAAACCGCTGTCTCAAAGCAAAGCAAAAAGAAAACTTTCTTCATAATGTAATGCGATACAACACCAGTAAACTCTCTCGCATGATTTCACCATGGTCGTTTACGGCTCAAAAGCAGTCATTAGCCTTGCAAAAACGCTTAAGGCAATGGGCACGCACTACGTAAAATTGTTTGACAAATAAGATGATTGACTGCCAGTCAAAACAACAGTATAGCCTGAATTTTAGAAATTTCTTCTAGCCGCTTACTCTTCTCAGATAATAACAGACTCCTTTACGGTTTACGTTGTGAGTGCATGCTGGGTCAGGACAAGATGGTGGAAAAAAGTTTGTATGGGAATTCAAGGTCAACTAATTCTTCGTAATTGAATATATTCGTCACTTTCTCTTTGCAAACTTTAACTAATGAACTTAAGGAAACTACACACTAAATTTGGAGTGTATACTAGTCTTTTGTTGCTTTTTAGAAAACCTGAGTTCTTCCATACATTTTCTGTAATCTGACAACACAATAATTACAGAAAATGTATGGAAGACGTCAAATTTTCTAAAAAGCGACAAAGGACTGCTGTTCACTCCACATTAAGTGTATAGTTTCTTTAAAATCATTAGTTTGCAAAGAGAAACAACAACAACAACAACAATGTATTTATTTAAAGAAATATAAAGTTTAGAATACTTTATGTCCTGCAAATAGCTATAATGCTAATCTAGGCAGGACAAGACTTTAAATAAAGACATTATTAAATTACATAGGAAAAAAGAAAAGAAAAGAAATACAAGGGATTTTGTTATTTGAAAAAGACTAAAATTACAACTGGAGGTATATACAACGTAGGTTAACTTCTTAAAATATTCTATTAAATAATTAACATTCAAATAATTATCTTCATTACCTAGAACATTAAGGAGAAGATTAGATACGTTGAGAGTCTTAACAGAAAGTGGAATAGAATTCCAAATAGACACACCAATTCTAGTAAAAGATTTTTCATTTTTTCAGTTTACAGAATTTGACAGAGAAACATTCTTTTGCAGATAATCGCGAAAGTGACGAATATATTCAGTTAGGAAGAATTAGTTGACTTTGAATTCCCATACAAACTTTTGAACTCCCCACCATCTTGTCCCGATTACCCAGCATGCCCTCGCAACCGTAAAGGGGTTTATTAAGACTTCCATCGGCGTGTTAGTTTTGGCCATTCGGACGCCGCCAGACAGATATATGCAACTTGTTATCGATTTGTTGTCGACCTTTTAACGTACAGGCCCTTAGGAATGGCGGTGTCATCGTCAGGAGGAAATGCTCTTGATAGGGATCTTGATGAGGAATTTCTCGTTGCTTGTGTACTTATTCATACGGAACAGCAATCACAAATAATTCGCCGAAACTGTGCTGATCCGAACAAAAAACTAACAAAAAAGGTTCTGAAGTTTAGAAAACATTTTTCATGGTGTACGTGCTCAATGCGCTTTTAGTACAAACTCTCTGCGGGTGCCGACAAAAACACATCCTCTCCACCGCAGACTATGTTCGCGAACATCTTTGTAGTTAATAGCTCGCTTTCCGTAACCCATTTGATAGGACACATTGCACTCGGCTTTGCATTTGAATTCAGGCGATATAGAGAAGACGTCGAACACGAAATAAACGAATTAATACAACCCGCAGTTAAAAAGAAAAAAGAACTGCTGCAATCATCGACGTCTCAATTTGAATTTGGATCAAAACTTTGTGCTGAAGCTACCTTTCATGTGTTCATGTATATTTTTAAGGATGTAATGTGTTGTATTCATTTGGAAATTAGCAACAAGTTTTATACTTTCAAGTCAAGTTCGATATATACAGAACAAGTGTCATATATTTTGGAAAA